ACTCCCCATCCCTGCCCCCATATCCCACTCTCCTCCCAAACAGAAATTCATTTTTATGATAATGACTTTATTTTGTTTTTTTTTTACTTTTTATATCTCAATGTTAAAGCACAGTGTCTTCTGTGCTGCAGTCGCCTTCCCTTTCTACTTCTTTGAATTTAATACTTTTGATATTAGAATTATCATTATTGCTACCAGTAGCAGCAATTGAATTATTTAGTTGTGCTTGTAAGTAAATGTTATGATGACAAAGCCCTGGGCATCATTTATTTCCTTACTGACTGGCAATACAGTGGATGATGTCCTTCTGTGTAAATGAGCCTCATCTTTTTGTCACGGATGAGAAAAATCAGCTCTTTGCTCTTTTGCATGTGGCACCTCTTACCTAGTACACGTTTTCTAAGATATAAGAATTAAGTAAAGAAAAGCACATGGACAAATTCTTTAGCAACTCACAAAGGTCTCTGCATCAAACATGGCTGTGAGTCACATAGACCATGACATCCAAAGAACCAATGGAAGAAACACGTCCTGTAGTTAATGGACATAGGGATGAACTCCAACCACTGCATGGATGCTTACTACCTCAAACAAAAGCGACAACTCCATTGTTAGTTTTCAACAGACCACCAACTTATAATTCTAATGGATGAAATTTAAAAAACGCTATTTCTATTGGTGTAGCAAATACAAAAAATCAGGTAAACGTTCCTTCTTAATGTCAAATTCATCCATTTATTTCACTGAGTTGTGCAGAAAGATGTTTTTCTGAATGAACAGGAAAATTGATTGTTTGAAAGGAATCCTGTTGATGAGCTGGCACAATCTAACGCAGACCAATGAGAAAGATTAAACCACTTTGTCAAAGTGTTCCTTGGAGAACCAGGAGAAAGAATGAAATTTTGTGTTGGTGAAGAATTGCATGATGAGGTCCAGACCTGCGGGACAGCCTAATTGGATGGCCACATAGAAGGATGCATCGAGTTCTGCTGCACCTAACTTCCCATCCAGATGTTAGACGACAACCACATTAACTCAAACTGGTGCCGATGACAGCAGGAAGGTTTATGTGGTTACCCATGACTAAGTACCATGCTTCTTGCACTGGTGGCTTGCCTGAGATACACGATCCTTTTAGGGGTTTTAGCACCCATCACCCAACCATCACCACGTTATGAAAGGATTTTTAGTGCTACAACTTATTACAGAAGAAGCAATAAAGTTCTTCTTAAGAAATTCGTGAGAAAAATTTATAAAAAGTAGCAAAGTCATTCTATTATATAACATTGAAATATTTCAGTAACAAATCTTAAGAAATAACAAAGAGAGGTGCTAAACATCATTTGCTTGCCTTTGGCCTCTTTGCACTTGCAAAAATAAAATTCCTGCATCTTCCACATAATCAGCATCATTGTTAAAAACAAAGAAATAATTAAGTGGAAAATTATCTGCTCTTTAAATAAATTTGTTTATATAGGTCTATACTAATTATCCAGATTATATTTCTATCTCAGCAAAATTTCATCAGCATATTGGGTCAGTCCCCAAGGCCTCAGTTTATACTTTTTGGATACCTAAAGATAAAGGTGAGACCTTTTATTCCTCAAGGGAGCCTCAAAATGTAAATCAAGCAAAAGAAGGCAAATTGAGGGAAGAATTCAGAATTGAAGAGACTGCTGTCATCAGAGACTTATTGTATCAATTTTGTGCTACTGAAATATAATACCTATTGTTGTCAGAGACTTACTGTCTCAGTTTGATGCTACTAAAATATAATATTCATTGAGTTGTCAAATATAATTGAAGATATTTAAAACTCATGCTGTCTTCTTCAAACTGTTTGTGTAAAACTTATGTAGGTTACCCTGTTATAAATTTATTTTTTTGCCTCTTAGTTATTTCTTGTTATTTTAGTCTTCAGACAAAATGAAATTCAGTCACCTAAAAAGAAATTTACATGTAGGCCACTACACAAACCCCAAATTCTGAAATTACTTTTCAGAATGCTGGAAATACTTTTTCTTGGCTTCTGCTGAAAATGTGTCAAGAAAATTCTTTCATATAGGCTTGAAGTATAAGCAATATATTAGAGTAAATTTGACTATTCCTTGGAACCCCCTAATATTAGACTGTGAGGTATGGCCACCTTCCCAGACTGCACAATTTGTAAACCAGCAGGATAAGAAGAAACAACTTAATTCTCATCCAATATCAAAAAGAGCAGAATTAATTGAGCAGGATACATATTGATTGTGGCTGCTAAAATGGTAACTCTTACAAGCTGTGATGTTAGTGTCAGTCATCTTTAGATACACAGAATCATGTTGCATGTCTTTTAAGTATCTATGTAAGTTGTGGTTGCAGCAGATGGGAGGACTATAAAGTATTCAGAGAAGAAGGATGCTTGCATACAGAGTTGTCAAATCTCTCACGTGGTATCCCTAATTGGCATGAACATCATGGACATGACTTGCATATTACTTAATGTGCAGCTTAAACACAGGCATATAGGCTATGGCACTCCCTTTTAAAGTGTTTGAATATGTAACAACTGACTACAAAAATGGGGTTCAGCAGGGCAAATAGGGTTTGAAAACATTCATCTATGGTGATTGCATCTCCATCCTCAATTCCATTCTTCACTTTTCTGGTCATTATTTTCTTGTGTTGTTGTCCTCATCATTGTAAAGTCAAGGAATAGGTACAAACATGAAGTAGTGTTTTCAATTTAGATTTTCAATTTCCAGTCCTGAATTTGACACTATCCAAGTACTCATTGATCAAAAAGTAAATTCTCATATATTCATGAAAGGGGTGATTATAGTGCAAGATGAGAGAACACATCAAAGGGGCCCAAAACACAGATAAATTTTATCAACTAACAATAAGCTCAAGAAGATAGTTACGAAAAAATACATACATTATGATTTCATTTATAAAAATGTTTAAATCAGGTAAAAGTAAGCGTTGTTTATTGAGGAGGCACTCATAGGGATTAAAACTATTTTAAAAAGCAAGAATATATTGCCATAATTGTCAGGCAAGAGATCATGAGAAGAGTGGAGAGAAAGGACTATTATGTGTATGTGTGTGTGTACACATATATGTATATATTGCATTTATTCAATTTTCAGGAATAATTTAAGGACTGAGAAAATGTGTTCAGTAATAAAATAATTGAAGGAAATTTAATATATTAAATTTGTAAATGAGGCTTAAAACATTTAACGTCTGCTAAATAATTACATTTGTTTATGCAGACATAATCGAAAATCTCCTTGAAAGGTAATTATAAAATATGCTGTGTATCTATTTAAAATAGTATTTATGATCAGAATTAAAGGCATATGTTTTGTTAAGGCAAACCAGTATTTTGAATTTGTAACCATAATAAACTGAATATTAATATTTAAAACCAAGGTAACTTGTGTATAATCTGTGTGCAAAATTATCCCCTGGGACACCAAAAACTCATATCACCTTTTGTCTTCTGTGCCTGATCTTAAGCTGCCATGTGCAAAGGAACCTATCTAGTGGTGAAAGTTTCAGTTGAATTAAATTAAGATGATTGTGTAATAACCCTGGAAGTTCATTGTTAACATGCAATTGACATTTCCATTAAGAAATTTTCATATTTATAAGAATTTACAATACCTAAAGATATATGTCTTCTGGAATATAAAATGAATTTTGTGATTATAATTTTAAATGAAGAGTTAAGTAATTTTTATGTACTTCTATTTAGCTGGATTATTTCTGTGTTTATAGCAGAATTATAAGAGAATTTAAACAATGATCAACAATATCAAATATTGCTAACAATTCAAGTAAATCAAGACTGAGAATGATCGTTAGATTTAATGATGTGGAAGTCATCATTGACTTTGAAAAAGACAGTTTCGATGGAGTGTCGATGGGTGGAAAGTCTGGGAAGAATAGGTATAAAGGAGAGTGGAAAGAGAGCAGTGGGAATCATGAGTCTACACAACTTTTCAAGATTTGTTGTTGTTGAAAAGGAGAATAAGGGCTGGTAGCTGGTAGGGATGTGTGAATAATTAAAAATTAACCACCTTGAACTTTAAGTGGAATCTGACAGGTTAGCAATCATATTGTAAATATTCATACTCTGATTTCTCTTCAGATCACATAAATCTTTTGCCTTTTTAAAATATTCAACTTTATGATTTTTTAAAAAAACTGGATAAATACCTGAAATGACTTCCCACTAGCCCCAACTAATGTCTTTCTGGTCCCTTCAAGTTAAATATTTTTCTAACATTTAATCTTTGACATCTATAGAAAACTATAATGACTAAAACCAATTATTATGAATTAAAATGCAATTTTTCCAATCTTTGTTGGCTTGCTTTATTTTGTTTTTTTTTATCCTTGGGGACCAAAGGCGGTTTTCAACCAACCTTCCCACCCTCTCTTCCTCTCTTCCTTCCTTCCTTCCTCTCTTCCTTCCTTCCTCTCTTCCTTCTCTCCTCTCCCTTCCTTCCTCCTTCCCTTCCTTCTCCTCCTTCTTCCTCCTCCTCCCTCCCTCCCTCCCTCCCTCCCTCCCTCCCTTCCTTCCTTCCCTCCTCCTCCCTCCTTCTCTTCCTCCTCCTCCTCTTTCTTTTCTTTCTCTCTGTCGTTCTCTCGTAATAACTTAGGCCTGAGTAACACTTGACTTAGTATAAATCTCAACAGGAGGTCAGTTGAAACATGAAGACATGGGTTTTATGTTTTCAGTAGACAGTAGGAATCTCCTGACCAAATACATTCTGCAGACTAACTTATGTAGGTAAAAACTTAGGTGGGTGAAGCAGGAAGCTGTTGGCCTAGAGTTGCTGGTGAGGTATGAAGTGTGTGATACTCCTGGAGGGATGGGAGGACAGGGAAAGTTTCAAAGTTCAACACTTTTGATGATCGCAATTATTGTTTCGTAACTGTTCTCCTGTTATCATTCACAGTGACATACCAGTGAATTTGCTTCTTGTTTTGTATTTTCTTCCTAGGATTTATAAATTGATAGACTACTACCACTGAAGGCAAGTTAAGAGATGGTGGTGTCCTTCCAAGTCATCTTTTTTAAGGTAAGGAAATTTACATTTGGAGAAGTTACTCTCAACATTCCAAGAATGTAAAGGTTGTTTATCGCAGAAGGTAGCTCACATTTACTCCAGGCTGTATTAAGTGGGAAAAAGGTATGTTAATGACCTTATTTTTTTCTTTGTTATAAGATTGCAGATTGAATGGATCTCTTTTTGTCTGATCACATCTAAATTAGATTCTTTGAAGATTTTGATTAAGTTCAAATTACAAATCACACTGGTTTGTTCAATCTCAAAAGCTATAGAATATTTAAATTTAAAAACATCATCATTCTAACACCCTAAAGTCACTTTTGTATGTTTTCAATATTACCTTGGAGTTATGTTTCATATATTAGAAATTATATTCTTCTTGAAATGTTTTTGTCTGTTTTTTCATGTAACACTTTATCAGTGTCATTTTCCATGATGCCAAATGGGTTTCACAAATCTAAATTATAAATGAATGGCTGCCTTTTGATTAACCTACTACATCCTTTTCTACAAGTCCCCTTTGTGTGCACTTTACAGTTTGCACTGCTACATATATCTCCATGCACATAGCTTCTGATTTGTTGAGATGATTTCCTTTTGATAAAGGTTCAGGAAGGAGATTATTGTGACTAGTGTTTCAAAAACGTGACTAGAACAGTGTGGTACAAGGCAAGAACTGATCGGGAAGGAAAGGCCTTCCTGGATGCTCCATCTTATCCCTGCACCAACAGGTGAACTCAGCAAATTATTTAGCCTTTCTAACTTCCATTTCCTTATTATTAGAATGGGTGAAGACACAACTCTCTAACAGGAATGTCAATAAAGCACAGTTTATAAATAAAATATTCTGTTCAGTAGCAAAACATGGTTAAGTGCCCGATTTATGACATTCAATATTTTCTTTGTGGTTCTTGAAATCTTTCTTTCCAAAAATGCCAGGATATTTTCCTCTCCCACCATCCCCCTGTAGTACATCTATTTTTAAAATGTTTGGCCCATTTATTGAGTCTAAAATGATACCCTAATTTCTCTTTTATTTTGCTAATATTCTCTGATTTCTTGTTTTTAAAGTGAACTATTATGTTAGTTAAAAAAAATGCACAAAGAGATAGCTCATCCCATTGATTAATCAAAACACCAAATAATATTTTATGTTTGTTTATTGTACTTAAATGGCCATTATGATCCCTAGGTGCTGTTTCTCTAAGCATATGAAGTAAACATATAATGTTGGATCCTAGATATTTGGAATTCAGGGGGAAAAAATGAGCATTTAAAAACCTAGAGAATCTGAAGAAATCTTTGGGGAGCATCCTTTGCATTTGAAAAAGTTAGAGATGAGGTGATGTGGTGGGGCACCACTGTGCTGTATTCATTCTGGGATATTTCAGTCAACTATCTAGAATGGCCATTTCGAGATCATGGCTCAATTTTGTGTCTACCAATTCCAGTAATTATAAGAGCAGTAAATGATTCTGATGAACCACATGCTGAATATATGCTACTTAAAATAGCCACCATTCCTGCTGCTTTTTAAAAAATCAATATTTTATCTCATTAAAAGCGACAAGGTAGTTAAACAAGGACAAGGAGAAGAATCAGCAAATTATCCATGCCCCTGCCACCATTTGAGTTTTTTAACTCTTAGATATATTTCTCTTCTATTTTTAAAATATGCATAGGTTTTACCAAATGGGCTCATGGTTTACATTGTTGGTCATAGTTATTTGTACCTCCTAGAGCAGCAAAAGAATGGTTTTCACCAGCACCACCAGTTATGCCTAATGTGGAGAAATACAGTGGCAAGCTTTGTAATTGTTTTTCCTTTTTGTTGTTATTACTTTTTGTATATTTTCTTGTGAGACTATAAGGCAAAATATATTTATATATGTAGGTGGAGATGTGTATGCAGTGCAGTAAGACCTGTTCATCGTTACTGATTTTACGCTTAAAATATCTGAGTATGATTGGCAATCCTTCCTGTGGTACACTGAGTGTTTTGTACTTTAGCAGATGTAACGCCACATCCTAATTTCACAGATTTATTTTATTTTCAAAAGATACTTTGGAAAAAAAAAAAAAAGATACTTTGGTACTTTGTAGTAAGTTAAAGTAGAAAAATTAAGTCAGCAATCAAATGACCTACATATTCTCTGTCTTGTGTTTAAAAGGGCAAAAGCACATAAAGATTTATGGTTTTCATTTGAAATAAGAAAAATGAAAGATTCTGCCCCATGATGCTCATGAAAACAGACATTTTTTTTATTTTTTCCTTTCTGGCAATGACTTTTAGGTGGAAGCACATTACTGCCAGTTCTTAAAAGATTAAAATATAAAGCAGACACTAAGCAAAGAGGAAGAAAATGCCACAGAAATTGCTAATGAAGATTTAGAACTCAATTATCACAAGCAGTGTTGCCAGCCCTTAGAATCTCTGTAGCTATTAGTCTATCCATGGACAGGGCATAACAGTTTCCAAACTTTCAGACATCTCAGATTAACTGAAGTGAGTTCGGGTGGTATTAAATAAATTTCCAAAGGAGCCACCCTGAAGATTCATACACAACAATGTATGACTAGAACACATTACCATTAGATCTGTCACTAACTTTAAAATGTCTAAGTAGGTGCTACAGAAAATAAATGGTACTTTACTAAATGCTTTCCAGTGTGAAGGACAGAGGGAAGAAAATAGAGAAACAAACAAACAATAAAAGATTCCTTTGATCTTTTCAAATAACATGGAGTACTCTCTTTAGTGGTGCTATGGTTCAAACTGCACCCATGAGAACTGCCATCAGGCTAACTTTTCAGATATTTCTAAATTTTCTGGAAATATTTGATAATCTCTTAAAAATCTTCAAACATATGATTAGTCTTGTTCCCAGTTCTTACAGGTGCAGTTTAATTATAGTACCATTAAGTCAGAGGATACAAAATTTCAGCTAGAAGAAACAAGTTCAAGTGATCTATTGTACAGCATAGTGTCAATAGATAATGACAACATATCATGTTCTTGAAAATTGCTAGGAGAGTATATTTTAAGTGTTCTTGAAACAAAATTAAGTTTTTGATTAATTAGCCACATTGAACCATTCCATAATGTATATCTATTTTAAAATAACACATTGTACAATAAACATATATACCTTTTATTTGTCAGTTAAAGAAGAAATACATAATTTTTTAACAATTTTCATAATCTGAAACTATGACAATGCTGAGAGAGAAGAGAAAGACATGGGAAAGTCACCCAAATAAATAATAAACCCATACTGGAACTTCTACAAAATGTAGCATTGTCAAGATGATATTATCATAGAGAAAAATGTCCCCAAATCCAGAAAATAGTTAGATCTTTGGAGAAGATGGAACTAAATAGGAAAATACCAGGTTGAAACATATTTTTAGAAGGCCCTATAAATTGAAAATCAACTTTACTTCTCTGTGATAGTTGACTCAACTGTATTGATTCAAGAAAAGGGCCAACTGATTTGGAAAATGAGTTTTAAAAGATATTTAAACAGTTTCATGAGGTTTCAAATTGAATAAAATATTTAAAGCCCTTTGTCATACAATTACATTTTAACAACATTAATTTGTGTGCCTAATTTCAGCCTTGCTGTGTTCTTAGGGAAGTCCAATCTTACAATTTGTAAACAGGCTCAGAGAATACCATTATATGATAATGAATCACTGTCACAGGTAAAATTCAGGGTGGAATTTAGTTCTATCTGTAATAACATTTATGGAGAGGTATCAAGGTAAAGGCAAGACATTAAACTGACAGGCGTGAGGCAGAGGTTAGGAGTGCTATAGGTATGATGAACTTTATCATTGGATAAAGTATCACACGTGTAGGATCTTAGTAGCTGAGGTACACTAGGTCAATTTTTTTCTGTCTGGGCTTTACATTAGAATCAACTAGAGAGAGTTGTTTTTGCAAATGCCATTGGTGGGGACCATCCCTGGAGATTCTGATTCAGTTGTGGAGGAGTTGGGGGAGGATGTCTTCTCCAGTTTTTAAACCTCCCCCAGTTGATTTCAGTATGAATCCAGAGCTAAGACTACTGCCTTGGGTCATAACAAGAATTGTGCTCAATTTTTGAGCCTTTTTCAGTTTCCATTACTATGGGATTGGCAAAACCCAGTTTAAACTATAAGATAGAATATACAATGACTATCCAATATATCTGAAAAACTTCTTTGAATATTGCAGTTTAATATCACTGCACATCTAGTGCATTCTAAAGAACATTTTCCTTGGGAGCAACCCACAGTCATAGTCTTAAAATGTTTCAGGCCCCCTCATTTTAAATTAATAAAAGGTGGCTATGGAACCGCAGAAGAACTGGTGTTGGCTTTCAATTGGGGATGTCAAGTGGCCGGTTCTTGTTTTTTATAAAGTGGCCAATATGTGGTTTGGAGCTATGATTATGGGAAATTTTGATAATATGAAAAAAACACTTTCCTGCTATGTAACAGGCCAGGAATGTATAAATACCCAAAAGCCAAAAATAGTTTAATAAAATCTTTTAAAACAAGTAGCAAGAAGAGAATCTTCTCTCTGTTGCCTGCAGCTGGTTTAAATGAACGTGCAGGCATACTTTGGAGATATTGCAGGTTTGGTTCCAGACCACTGCAATAAAGTAAAATAAATACTGTAATAAACTGGATCACACAATTTTTGTGGCTTCTCAGTACATATAATAGCTATGTTTACACTAGTCTTAAGTGTACAATAATATTATGTCTAAATAACAATATATATACCTTAATTAAAAATACTTGATTCCTAAAAAATGCTAATGATCATCTGGGGCTTGAGTGAGTTATGACTTTTTGCTGGTGAAGGGTCTTGCCATGATGTTGATGGCTGCTGACTGGTCAGGATGGCAGTTAATTGAGGTTGGGGTGGCTGTGACAATTTCTTAAAATAAGAAAACAATGAAGTTTGCTGCATTGATTGACTCTTCCTTGCAGAAAAGCTTTCTCTGTAGTGTGTGATG